ACTAGTTAAATTCTTGTTACTCAATCTACAGCAGTTGGGGCATCCCCTAGGAGAGGATTAAATTTGCAGAATCTCAGGGCCCACCTAGAATTTCTAAATTACATTCTGTTTTGACAAGATCCTCACATGGTTTTAGTCACAGCAGGACTGAGAAATTTAATCAGAATACTATTGAAGCATCTTCCATGAACAAGACATTATATCTTACTCTGGTGATAAACTGATAAGTAAAATAGACATAACCACAGGACTCATTAACCATCCAGTCTACACCTATCCAACGAAGCTAAATATATTATATAATGCTTCTCATGCATGTCTATACAACTGAATAATATGTAACCAAAAATTATGTAGAAGTATATTTATTTACACGTTAATATTAAGCAAAAAAAGCAGATAGCAAAAGTATATATCATACAGTATGATCTTAGTTTTACAGAGACAAACAAATTTAAATTAATGCCCATAAGAAATCAGAATATTTGAACAAGAAAATGTTTACCATCTTTTGGGAAAAGGGACAATGAGTGGTTTTTATCTCCTTTCCTTCAGCATTTTTGTGAATTTTTACAATGAGCATGCATTAGTTTTTATAATTAAAAAAGATGACCCTTATTTTTCAATTGTGCAAAAGATGACCTTAACAGCTACATCTGCTAAGCCTCACAGTCTGTCCTTGCCATAAGGAGGCCCAAGATTCCTAAAATATGTCCACACTGTGCCTCCTCAGGCCAAAATTCATCCATTCATTCACCCAGGGATCAGTATTAGCAGGAAGCGCTGACCTGATCCTGTTACTGTCCCTGTGCTGGAGGCCCTTACAATCTTTTGGGGAGTGGGAAGAAGTGGGGTTGCTATAAAACTGTTAGAACTAGAGCTGAGGCAGGCTCATGAGACCCTCCAATTCCATTTCCTCTTGTTCCTACTTGATTGTTCTTCGTGTTCTGTGGTCTTGCGACTAAAGAAATGTGAGCAGAAGGGGCCTGTGACTCTTCAGGCCTGGCCCTCAGACTCCTCCCAGATGTGAGCTGCCCTGCTCTTTCTCCATGTGCTGGACTGGCACAGATGGGCCATGACAGACAGATGGCAGAGCCACCCTGGGCCCCTGCGTCACAAATTAAAGCATAGCAGACTGCAAATAAGGAACAGATTTGGGACTTTATATAAGCAAAAAAAATAAAATAGTAAACCTTGATCACATTTGAGCTATTATGCATTTGTTTGTTTAGAATCTTTACATTATGTTTGAATGGAGTACTGTTGGTGTGCAGAGGGATAGGAAGCAGGAAATAATTAGTATGGGAGCAGTAGCCTTGTAAAGGAGGACAAGTTTGAATAAACTGGATCATTGTTGGCTGGGGTCTTAGATCTACTTTACAGGAGCACTTATTGGCACAGATGTTGTAAATGAATGGGCTGGCTATTGGGGCCCTGCCTGAAAACTAACTTATGAAGGGTGAATTAAAAATCAATCTGTCTTCTCTAGAAAGAAGTTCTATAGTGGGAATTGGGGTTCATTGATCATGAAGCAGAGCTATATAGTTATTATCGCAGCCAGTTGTCAGTAAAGGACTATCAAGTAATTCCATTAGAAGCCCAGGTCTTCTTACTTGCTTAAATATAGCAGTTCACCCATTTGAAATTACATTAGGAAAAATTTGGCACTAGGCTTGTCAGCCCAGATGTAAAATTTTATTGTCAAACAAACTGACCAAAAATGTCAAAAAGGTTCCCAGGATTTCAGGTTGTTGTGGCTTAAGGGTTCTTTTATTGAAAAATTAAGCCAATAGTTAGAAACTTCCATTTGAAATATAAAATTTTGCAGAGTCCTATGTGTGAATTTGTGCATTCTTATAAGAGTCTTTGAAATAACCACCACTAACAAGAGAACAATTGTGCTTATTTGTAACATTTTGGGTGGCCATCTACATGCTTTTTTCCCTGTCTTTCCACTAAAATGAAACCTTAATGTTAAATAACAAACCTTGACCTACAAATAATTTCTCTATTTTTCATGGTTTCCTTTCTTGGCCTTCTGCTAGTTGCACAATCTGGACAACCAGCACCTGCTTTTGGCAGAGAAAAATCAACTGTTATTAAACCAAAAAAGAACTTCTGAGCAATGTTGTCCCTAGTTACAGGAATAAAATTCAGGGCACGGGTTATGATGTTTAGTAAAAGCTGGGAAAAAACAGAGAAGCAAACATGTGAGAGTAAAGGGCCACTTTGTCAGAACCAGAGAACATGCCAGTCACCTTACACCTTCGCTAACATAGCATGTGCCTCGTCAAATGAGGCACGGGGTAGGTATGGATGGCGTCACAAGGGGAAACAAAAAGGATGGCATTAAAATCTGGCAAACTATCCAAAGCTGAATCATCAGCAGATTACAAATCCCTTCTGGAGCAGAAGCAGAAACTGCTCTTGATGAATCATGACTTCTCCAGTAGACCAAGCCACAGAACCCTCAAAGTCCACTGCAGACTAGCAGCGGGGCTGGACCACCCCTGGAGGACCGCTGAGCCGGTGGGTAACTCTGGGAGCATAGAGGCAACACTCTGTGACCACAGCTCCTTTTATTGCCTGAAAGAGACAATGATACTTCCAACCCATTCTAGGAGCCTGTGGGGCTTAATAATTTCATGCGCATAGGCACTGAGAAGCTTGGATAAAAGACTAAAACTATATTATTCCTGGCTGGGAATGTTCTCTTTAAAATTCCTTGTAATTACAGTGCCACCCTTGTAGACACAAACCACTGTGAGGTCTTGAGCTGTATCATAAACTTATTCCCACCTAATAAACCTCCTCTCTTGGCATTTCCCTCCCTAAGGCATTTTCTTTTACCCCAGGCCTTTGTCTCCCTGACCTGCCAACTCCAATGGCATTCTCAGAGGGCAAAAACTGAGTAAGGACCAATAGTGCTTCAAGCACAACCAACCACTCCGTGTTACAGAGGATTAACATTGCATAACTCTGGAGCTGCAAATAACTTCCCCAGGTCACCTGAGTCACCTCAGGTGCAGCCATTTTCTGGTGTTTTCAGAACCAGCACCTTCAACATAGGTGTCCCCTGGGCTGTGCCCTCGACACATGGACATGTCCGTGACAGTGGCATTTTTCCAGTCCCAGTCTCTCTCTCTCTCTCTCTCTCTCTCTCTCTCTCTCTCTCTCTCTCTCTCTCTCACACACACACACACACACACAATAAGTTGAATTTCCTCCATTGCAAAGAGTCTGTTGGGGGGGGGTGTATTTGTGGGTATGAACCGCTTGTGTCTACTAATGTTTCTCAGGATGAGGATCATTTAGCAACCTCATAGTACTAGCTGTCCTGTTTATTAGATCAACAACTCAAAGATACCTATAAAGGATATCACGTCTTCCTGACACTCTGCCACCTGAGCAAGTGTGAGCATCTCTGCCCTATAGTCCTCATCTCCCTGGAGGTGGGCTTCTGAAGAGACAGTGCTTGGCCAACATGAAGGAGAAATTTTGTTAGACTCAAGACACAAAAGTGCTACCTTGGGGTCAAATTATGCAATGATGCTGGCTGGCTATGGGACTGTTTTCTGATCGCTTCACAAAAACCACCTTTGTCTCAGACCCTCAGGGTTGGAAGATTTGGGAGAACTGAGCATCATCATCCTATTTCCCCAAAGTACATTAAAAGCAGCTATAGCTCAATGACAGCCCCCCAACCCCCATCAGCTTTGTGCACAGGAGAGGTAAACAATTCAACACAATAACAGAAGATAAAAACTGGATTTCCTATTTCATCATTAACCAACTTACAGATGGGTTAAGTTCTATGTAAGCTGATCTTTGAAAACTCCAAGAAGTTATTTGTGTGTGCAGGGTGAAGGTGGAGTAAATGGAATGATGGTTGGCTTTATTTATGGAAGGAAATGCCAAAGATCCTGAGACAGGGGCATAACTGGGATACCTCTTTCAGCCTTCATCCTATATTCTAGGGGAAGAGCTTTATTACAGATGGTCAACAGAAGAGACACAAGTGCTGGTGTTATAGCTGTCAAGGGGAAGCAAAATATTCTACTGGGTGATAAAACATAAGCTTTATGGAAGCCCCAGGTGCCTTTAAGGCAATGGTGATAGAGGTGGAAATAAAGGAGCAGGAGGCTTTTGGGGTTGTAGAAATCCTTACACTTTTGAAAGGAAAATGTCATAACAGTTGGGAGGTTTGATGGGCACTGCAGGCCTAGTAACTTCAGAAGCCATAGTCACAGACAATACTATACCTTCAAGAGACTGATGTGAGGGAAGAACCATCATTGATGAGGAGAAAATATCTCCCCATAGGGATGAGGTTCCAATGAGCAATATAGTATAGATTTCCTGCTGGAATGTAACCCCAGTGGGTGCATTGAGAAATGACTCGTGCTAGCTTAAATCAGGAACTAATATATTCAGCAATGCTTCTGAAGGCCCAAGAGAAAGCACGTAGATGACCTTGAAATAATCTAGCACTTGATGGATAAAAGCTACAAGGAATCTGATTCTTCTATCACCTCTCCACGGTAAAGCCACTTTCTTCTCTCTTTATACCCAGGCTTTCTCTGCCAGGGTAGCAGATAGCACCGTTGAAAGCCTAACCAATGACAGTGTCCATCAACCTGGGAAAAAAACCAACTCTGTCTGCATTTGGTTCAATCTTCTAAGAAGAGATATTCCTCTTGGTCAACCTGGATCTGGTGCTCACCCCTGGACCTACGTCTGGGGGCTTATTCGAATCCTAGGGTCGTGGTGACCAAGGACCTTGCTGGGAGGCAGGTGAGAGGTTAAAGAGGGGGAGCAGTTACCAAAAAGTTAGGAGGTATAATAGGGGTGAGCTGCTGGACTCATAACCCTATAGGTTTCCACCCCAGTTCCTGGATGAGGGCATGGTCTATAAATGTACCAAGTGGGAGTTCAAACTTGGGCCATAGGTTCTTAGTGATGTCAGAATGAAGTGACTGAAGTTATCCCCAGGGATAGAGACCTGGATTCTTGTTTTTTTTGTGGCCTAAGTCCTGGTCCCTTCTCTGGACATCAGTTTCTTCTTCTGAAAAATGGATAAATCATATTAGACTAGTTATACATAAGTTGTTACAGCAAAACATAAACTCTCTTAATTTTCTATATAAATTTATATAAAATATAAAATACTTTGAGTTCAAATGTTTATAACCATTGACGTCAGGCTGCTTGAGTTAGAATGGTCTTTACTTTTTGCCAGAGTTACAGTAAAGGATTTCTCATATGCAAAGTTCTGATGGGATGATACTAATATATTTTTTTTTAAGATTTTATTTATTTATTTATACAGACAAGAGCTGGGGTACAGGCCAGAGATGCAGGGGGGTGAGAGATTCACCAGAGACAGAGTGGGGAATAGAACAGGCAGACTGACTGAAACACACTGCTGAGGGGAGCAGTGGGCAAGGCAGGAGAGGTCTGCTGCGCCATGTGGGTTTCTCCCTGGCAGGCCGGGGATCCAACTCATGCTGCAGAGGCTGCGGATTGCTTCATAATGCAGTGCTTAACCCCTTCCTCCACCAGGGAGGCCCATATGCTAATGTTTCTTAACACTAAAAGATAGGGAGAGCAAACTCATTACTAATTCAGAAATTTAGTTTTGTAGGAAAACTCCATCAAAATAAAATCCACTCAGGGGTAAGTAATAATAATTATTATAACAATAATAACAGCAATAGCTATCTTTTTCCTAGCTAAATAGCATTTTCTGTCTGCCAGCCTCTGTTCTAAAACTTTATATGACATTTCATATAGTTTGTACAATATAACTACAAGGCACATACTATTTTTAATCCTCATTTTATAGATAAATGAGCTCTGGCTTAACAGCTCATCCAGTAGGAAGGTGCTAGAGCCAGCTCTCAAAGCCACTTCTTTGTAAAAGTTTAAAAAAATGATTGCACGAGCTAATATCTGCCCTTAAAGTTAAATAAAATGTGATGGAATTAAAAAATATACACTATGCCATCTATACACATATACATGCATGCATATATATACATTTATGTATATATAAAATGTGTTCTTCTCATCTCTGATATTCCACACTTCAATGCATGTGTCAGAAAGGTATAGATGCATATGAATGTTCAAGTGTTAAAATAGAACTTATTCCCTCGTCTAAAAGGCATGACAGCTTTTCGATCACAGAGTAAGGCACGTGGGGGTTACTTTGCAAGCACAAGCTCAACGATCTGAGGGCACAACATAAAGTTTTTATTGGCCTGAACAGGGTGATTCAAGCCTTGATGTTTCACTGCATGGGCCATGTGGTTTGGGAGGTGCTGTGTAGGTTGTGTGGGTTTGTGATTGCTCACGTGTGCACACGTGTGTGTGTGTGCATGGCTGGTGTTTTCCAGAGTGGAACAAGAAGGATTAACTTTCAGCGTTTGGCTCACCCTAACCTATAGCAGATGGGCACTGGCTTTAAGTTCTCATAAAGTTAACCCCTGGAGACTTGTTAAATGATTTATCCTCAACTTTGGAAGAGCAAAGGAATAAGGTGATTAAAAAAAAGAAAGAAAGCTCCATGATAACGTGCCATTGACAGAGAAGGCTTGTCTTTCACAGTGGAGCAGGGTGGGTCGGCATTGACTGGATTTGGGGGGAGAGTGTTAGGACTGGGTTAGGGGAGCCCTTGGAGCAGGCAGCTCCTGACTTTATTCCCAGCAGCTGAGGCAGAAAAAGTGAGAAAAGCCTTCATTCTCTACTTACGGAATGGCCTCAAGTTTAAAACATACTGAACCACGCTAATTTTAAGTTCTCCCAATATAACCATTTTATTTCATCCAGCTGTGGGGCCTGACTTTTGGCTAGAAAGAGAGCCAGAAAGAGAGGGAGGGCAGAGATGGAAAAATAAATCCCCGGGATGCCTGTCAGTACCTGTTTTTAAGTTGGGGGTGTAGGAGCTGTAGCAAAGTCACATGGATGATTTAACATAGAGCATCACCTCCTACTGGCTTTAAATGACCCTCTTTCCTGTCCCCACTGCCAGCAGCTGGAGAAGTAAAAGTCTTTCAAGCATCAATCACGAAGCCCCCACACTCCACTCCCTTTTAATAAGATGCCATGAGCGGAGCTCACTCTCCGAATACTCACTCATCCATTAAACGACTTGAAGGAGACTGGCTAGTCAGGATCCGTGGTTGCAAACAACAGAAATTATTTCTAGCTAAGTTAAGCAGAAAAAGAATTTATTGAGAGGGGAATGGATAATTAGAAAATTGATGAAAAAGTCACATGGGAAACTAGCTTGGGTGATATGCAGGTGCTAAGGGGGTGAGGGGCTGAAACCATCTCCAAGGCCATGCCAGAGCAGGGTCTGGATGTCACTGCAGATGCCCTCCAAACCCCACCATTAAACAACTCTTAATGTTATGGATACTACCAGAATTCATCTTTACCCATATTTCTCTGTCTCACTTGCTTAAGATGGAAAGGCCAGGGAAGTTGCATCCAATCCCACATGCCAGGGATGGAGAAAGGAACTATCTTACCCGCTTCTGCATTGAGTGGAGAGATAAGCCAGGCTTCCAATGTGTCTTGGAGGAATTAGATGCTGGAAGACAAAATTATCAGATATTTATAACAGGACTTTCTCTAAAATTAAAATTCCTTTTTCCCAGAGAAGCGTAAAGAATGAGGAGCTCCCGGTCATAACGGACCCAAAGACTGGTGTGCGTGGTTTGCATCATGTGCTTTCCAAAAGTTTTGAATTTCTCTCTTTTGGGTTCAAAGAAGAATTGGTGTTTAGGTTGTCTAGGAAAGTTAACATGTGTAGGATAATGGCCTGTTGCATGTTGTGGGTGCAGGGGGCAGGTCTGTGCTAAGTGGGGAGGTGGACCTGACTCCAGTCAAAGTCTGGGACTTCTGAAGTCAAAGTCTAGAGTCAAGGAAGAAATGGAATTTTGGGCAGGAGAAAAAGATAACAAAGAAATATACATGACTTGATTTAGGTTTCAAGAGGTGGTAAAAAAGATTTCCTTGAAAATCCGCAGCCTGTGATTGTCATTCTGTGGGTTTGAGGTTTGAATTTATACTACCTGTAGAGCTGAGAGCATCCTAAGTAGAGAAATTGAAGGTCTTCCAAATATAAATCAAAGGTTTTCTGGAACATTTGGTTGGAACCCATGCAAATCTTCCTTGTGGAATGGAACTGACCCTAGGTCTTAGAAGAGTCCTACCAAACAAAAACAAAACAAACCAGAATTAATGTTAGTGAAAGAAAGGGACACAGAATAACACATGGCCTGGTGTGTGACACGCCCATCCTCCCACATCCTATGCGCCCTCTCTGTAGATGGGGAAACAATCCTTCCTTAGAGTCCTTCCAGAAAAACAACAGTATTGCAATTTTACAGGTAGCAGGATTCAAACACCTGGGTCTTGTTTTTAGTTAAGACGTCCTTTCCAATGTAGTGCAAACTCTTTCACGTGGTGATCTGAGGGGGTGGGGCAGTTTACAGCTAGACTTTAAGTGAGAAAGATCTCATTTGAAAGCTGGCCTGCCGTAGGTGACAAGACCCTCTGAGACTCCCAGTTCTCATGTGTGAAGTTAGGGTGAAAACAGACCTCCAGTTCTCTTCCCCCATCCTCACCCCCTCCCAGCTTACCTCTGGGAGAACTAGGTAAGCATCCACAAATTTTAATTGTTTACTTTACAATTTGAAGATGTAAAATGATATATATACTGCAGTCTCATTAAGGTGTAATTTTTGAGTAAATATTTTTAATAAGACCCTTTAAATCTATTTCAGTGTTTGGGTTTAAATCATCTTTTAAAACCGAATATAGATGATGAATTATAGTTAAACAACCTAGTTCCTCAATTTTCCATAAGTCTAATGCTCCTAGTTACAGGGTGTTAAGTTACAGGACATTTGCAGTATTGCTTAGAGTTGGAATGCAATTTCATTTTATAGTTTGAGAAACATTTCATATAGTAAATGCTCTTCAAATAAATCTATGGAATGAATAAAAGTTAGAAAAGCAAGGAGAGTTTTAAAAGGCAGGTGTGGTGGAGCAGGGGAAAAGGGAGGTAAAGTCTAAATGGTATGGAGACGTTTCTGAAGATATCTGGGGGGAGGTAAATGGTTGCATACTGTCGGGTAAGTGAAAAAGTATCAGGCTTTTCTGCCCTCCCACCATCAGGATTGATGATGGATCCCTGCAGTCCTGAATGCATGCCTGATGGCGGGCACCTGGAGTAGGGTGTGGGCATGTGTAGATGGGATTCACCTGGGCTAAGAGACTGGGCTTATAAGGGTGGTGTCATGGAGAAGCCAGAAGAAGCAGAGAGTAGAGCAGAAGAGCAGAGAAGCAGAGAGAATGAGAGAAGGCCGGAGAGCCCAGAAAGACTTCTTGCTGGGGGCTGGGAGGCCTGCCAGCTTCCAGCACTCACCCCCACCACCACCCCCACTTGCACGCACCCCACCCCCGCACCCCTGCCTGCTGTGTACCTGGTAAATCCCAATAAAAGCCTGCAATAAGCCACCAAGGGCTTCAGGACTCTCTCCTTCTTTACTCCATCTGCTCGGATCATAGATACCCTCCCCTGTGGCCATCCTGCCACTACACATACTCAGTCCATTGAAACTAGAAAAACAACATGCCATAGAGGAGGTGGCTCAACAAAAAATTTAAAGAACAACAGATATTTATTTCTCACAGCTCTAGAGGCTGGGATGTCTAATATCAGGACACTGGCAGATTCTGTGTCTGGTGAACACCCACTTCCTAGTCCCTAAAAGTTGTCTTTTGACTACAACTTCATTTGATGGAAGGAGTCAGGGCTCTCTCCAGGGTATATTCTCATGAGGGCACTTATTCCATCCATTAGGGCTCCAACCTCATCCTTAATCACCAACCAACCCCCCCCCACACACCAACCCCAAGTACATTGAGTGTTGGAATTTCAACATCCAACTATTGGGGGACACAAACACTAAGTCCACAGTGTAGCCCATGGAAGGCTGACGAGTCTCCTGAAAGCGAAGCCCTGAGAAAAGCATGGACAGCCAGTCAGACTTCAAGCAAAACCTCAGCCATGAGGCGAGTAGGGTCATACTGTGTACGTTGAGGATGTCGTGTCACTTAGTTTTGTTCCTCCTATAGAACTATTGGACTCACAGAACATCGTGTGATGGGAAATAAGAGCGAAAAAGTACAGGAAAATAGACTTGGGCAGTCTGCTGTGTGAACGCTCCGACTGAGTGTGATAGAAAATTGTATATAAAGTAGATAGAAAGTAAGACCGGGGGCCTCCCTGGTGACACAAAGAGGTTAAGCAACACACTATGAAGCAATCCACATCTCTGCAGCATGAAGTTCAATCCCCGGCCAGCCAGGGAGCATCCCACATGGCATAGCAGACCTCTCCTGACTCGCCCACTGCTCCCCTCAGCAGTGTTTCAGTCAGTCTGCCTGTTCGGTTCCCCATTCTGTGTCTGGTGAATCCTCTCACGCCCCCCCCATCTCTGGCCTGTACCCCCAGCTCTTGTATGCATAAATAAATCTTAAAAAAAAAAAAAAAAAAGACCAGACATGGCATTCTCTGCATAAAATACTGAGGACGTGACCTGGCAGAGGCAGAGCCTGGCATCTAGTGAGAGAAACAGACCAGCAGCAACACCCACTGATACAGACCAAAATATTAGAGGGATACTGTTAACAGGAGCCGATCCTCCCTGAACAGTGGGAGCAAGAAGTGGGGCATTTAGGTAATTTTGTTAATGTATCCTTAGGTTTGGGAGACTCGCGTGAACATAGGCCACCGCCAGACAGAACTCCACACTCCAGTGTCCAGTCTTATGCCCTTTTCCCATTTTTCTCTCTCCACTGTCGAGCTATCGCTCAAGCCGATTTTATTGATTAGAATCACACATAGACAATTCACAGACAATTTATAGATCATAAATTTATTCAAACCAAGAACACTGAGGTTGAAGTTTGTGTTTTAATGATGCCCTGAAGAATGGGGACAAATCACATCCGCATAGAACTTTGCAGTTGATTTAAACTCGCTGTTATACATGTCTCCTTTGGTCTGCTTAACAAGCCAGTGATATAAGTATGGAGCAAGAGAGCTGATATCAAACCAAACATAAGTGCCGCCGGGTAAATGACAATCCCTCCATTCAGGGGTCTCAGGCTCCCATAACAACTACCAGCTTCTAGGAGAGTAAGATCTAGTTCCTCCCGTGAGCCAGGCTGATATGGTTATTTGAGCTCTTATCAGTTCTCCGAAGGGAAAAAGTAAAATTCATCTGACCTTCTGGAAAGAATCAAGTGTTTTGTCTTCTACCTGGAGATTTGATTTTTCTTGACAAAAGGATAGACTTGGTGAGTTAATGTAAAGTCCTTATAGACTGAGTTTGTTCTGAACTGTATTTCTGAGGTTTGCTTTAAGATGTGTCTCCCTGTCACAGTGACATATGCCAGTGCATATATGCCGAGGCAACCCTTTTAAGAATACCCCTTCCCCCAAGAGAACCCAAAAACTTTGGCATTAACCTCTGCTTTTACAGATGAAATCACTCTTCACTGTGTGCTTCTAGCCTCATCACCAACTGCTGGAGCCCCAACATTTTAAGATTGAGGCCAGAAAGTGTCAGAAGAATATGATCCTTCACCCACAGAAGCCTCCCAGTCCTGTGGATGTAAATCTCCCACTTCTGGAGGGTGGATTCCATGATTTCCAGTGTCTCTTCTTCCCACATTCATTCTGTCATCTAGTGGGGCTGGATCTGTACAGGACTTCAAGAAAAGTTCCCTTTGGGCAAAGAAGCAGACACTGAAAATCTCAGAAAGCCCAGAGCTTCATTCACCCATCTGTGGTATCACCAGAAATCCCCCCTTAACACAGTCACGCAGTGAATGTCTATGTGTCAATGAGGTGTTATTAGGTATCCCTTCTGTGGTTCTAGAGCTCTGTTTGTGACTTCAGCTCACAGTCTCAGTTGCATTGTTTTATTTTATATGTCACCCAAATTCATCTGGGCAATCCTTGAGGCAATTCCCACTATAGAATAACTCCTTTCTATAGGTGAGAAAATGGAGTCTGAGGAAATCTCGAAGAGACAGTGGAGCAGGTGTCCCACATCAGACAATCTGACTTTAGAGACCAAGTTCTTGACCATGACACTGCAATACCTCCAGGAAATTCAAAGGTGACTCGGGCTCAGTCCCTACCCTCAGGAGCTCACAGTTTAGAAGAGGAGGCAGAATTGTAAAATAAGCACGGTGAAAAATGTTGTCTTAAAGGAATGTGCTCTGAAAGTAGCATGGGAAGAAGACGTATCTCAACTCTTCTTGGATAGGAGGATGGAATCAGAAGACTACGGCCTGAAGGAGAATGAGTATCCAAGCTGAGATACAAATTTGAATTACTCTCAAGTTTCTCTAACAGAAAGAAAAAATAAAGCTGAAATCATTGTCTGTTAACAGACTCGTCATATCTGTGGTGGAACAAATCAACCTTCATTGATAAGAAAAATTGAATATCTCAGGAGCTTGTAAATGAGGAAAATCTTGCTCTCAAGAGTTAAAGTATTATATGGTAGAACTTGGCAGGATGCTTAGTCCATTTTGGCTGCTATAACAAAAATGCCACAGATGGAGTGGCTTTTAAACCGTAGCCATTTATTTCTTACCCTTCTGGAAGCTGGAAGTCAAAATCAAGGAGCTGGCAGACTCGGTGTCTGGTGAAAGCCCACTCCCTAATTCATAGATAGCAGTATTTTTGCTATAACCTCATATACAAGAGGGCAGGGAGGTCTATGGGAAATTTTTTATGAGGGCACAATTCTTATTCATGAGGATGTCACCATTATGACCCAATCACTCACCAAACATTCTACCTCCTAATATCACATTGAGACATAGGATTTCAAGACATGACTTTTTGGGGGGTGGGGACACATATTTATAGCAAAAGTATGCAGTGTCATATGCCTTTGGCTCCCTTGAAGAGCAAGACCTCTTTGGAAGTATTAGCATTAATAAGGGACACTGGAACCAGGAGGATTGATCAGCTATGTTTGATGATCTTGGACAAGGAGAGAATCAAATCTTTGGCCTTTCTAGGCATTGTTTAGAAGAGAGTACACCTAGTTAGGCCACAGCTGGCATCCCAGCATGTTCACTTACAGCTGGCTATCAATTCCTGATAAATGATGTGAAAAATACCCACGGTAGAACAAATTCCCCTATGTCTGATTTCATAAACTTGCTTCCCTAGGATCTAGCCTATAAGGAGAGATTGCTTTGGCCAGCCAATTTATATACCTGCTTGGGCTTGACAAAAATATTTTTAGTGTAAAATAATGAATTAGCCCACTACGTCAACTGTGTTAGAAAATTGAGGTCCATATTTTCAAGAATTCTCTCTGTAACCCTATTTAAATTCATCAAAGTCATCATCAAGGTAAGACACAACCAAGCAAGGCATCCCCTACATTGCATGGGGCCCTGAGCTACATAAACAAATTGAGAAAGAAATAAGAAATTCTTAAGCTCCTATAAGGCACAGTGATTTATTAACAGAGACTTGAAATAATAGGTAAAAAAAAGAGGTCTTTATGCACTTGCCTATTGTTCTATAAGTGCACATGAAAATTCTACATAGTGTTCAAGTAGCTCCTTCTATTCAAACCAAGAATCTAAAGTATCTTAGTGGTCTTTATTGTCAAATACATCCTTTCTGCACAAATTTCATATCAATCACCACAAGAAAAAAGTCCTCATGAGTAAGAATTGTGTCCCCATAAGAGACCCCCCATAGAGCTCCCTGACCTCTTATATATGAGGTTATAGCAAAAAGACTGCCATCTATGAACCAGGAAGTGGGCCTTCACCAGACACTGCGTCTGCCAGCTCCTTGACTGTCTTCCAGCCTCCCAGCTGCCAGCCATGCTGTTATTACTGACAATGCCATGAATCTTCAGAACCTGTTTGTATTGGAACAATAAAAGGAAGGGAGGGAAGGAGAGAGGGAGGGAGGAAAAATGAAAAAGAAGGAATATACAGACCTGTCTGCCTCTATCGTTCTTGGTTCTGCTGATTTAATGCCAGTGACATCTTCACTCATGACACGGAATCACTCATGCTGCTATTTGTGTGTGTTGGCTTCCAATAACTTTCTCAAATATTGTTACTAGGCTTTGTTGATGATGAGTGTAAGTGTTAGTCTTGCCCAGAATATGCTGGAAAATATGAACAATAATTCATGTTCTGGTCATGCTAAATTTACTGTTTGGAATTTTATTACAAAAACATAGAGCAACACATCTTCCAAGCAAGTCTTCTCTTGAACTCTCTGGAACTCTCTAGGCCATCAGCATTACCTTCATAGATTGTGATCTCTTTCAATGTTGCCTGCACTTCTGCCTTCTTCCACACACCTCCATCAGCAGGGTGGATGAGTGAGGGCCCTGGGTAGCTAGAACGCTGATCCCACTCACACTAAGAATGTCCACCTAATCTACCTGTAGGGATTAGGACCCACCTACCAGAGCATGAGGTCATTCATTGGAAAGGTCTGTTGGCACCATGGCACACACAGCTTGAAAGCCCTTATAGACACACGTGTGACCCTCTTAGAGAACAACTTGACATGTGCACAGAGCTTTTGAAGGGGTGGGGTGACTGCCTTGCGTGCCAGCAGGAAGACTAGCCACCTCTATCCATAGTCCTGCGTGCCAACTCTGCACTGCCTTCTCCAGTGCAGTGCCAGGTTTCCAAAGTCTCAGATGTGGGCATGTGCCCCTGACTTAACAGTAGAGGGGATCCCTACAGCAGCCACCTCTCCCTCTCGTGGATTTTTACTGCCCTACTATCACTCTAAACACAGTTCAATTAGTTTTTCCTATCACTTTCTGCTAAGCCATTGCTCCCAATGTACATGATGGTTTTTTTGTTTTGTTTTGTAGTACATAGATCTCCATATACCCTTTACACAGTTTCACCAATTGTTTGCACTTGGCCTTATTTGCAAGTACGTTCTCTCTCCCCTCCATACATGTCCCCTAAATCATTTAAGAGTAAATTAAAGACATTGTGCCCCTAAGCCCTTCAGAGTGTATTTCCTGGGAAGAAAAGCATTCTCTTACATACAATATACTTATCCAAATAAAGAAAATATTGACGGAATACTATTATCTAAACCACAGTCCATTTAAAGTGTTGTCAGTTATTTCAACAATACCCTTCTTCATCTTGATATTTTTTGAGAGTACAGGTTAGTTCCTCAAGTATCCCTTAATTTGGTTTTGCCTAATATTTCCTTATGATTTGGATTTTGGTTATGCATTTTAGGCAGGAATACCACAGAGGGGTATATATCATGTTATATCCTTCTCAGTACATCATATCAGGAGGCACATGATGTCAGTTTATTCCAACATTGGTGATATTAATGTTAGGAAGGATAGTAAAAGAAAAAAATTGACTACATGCAAATGGAATCTGTACTTGATGTAGATTCAAATCTATATCAATGTGGATTGCAAAAAGAATGAGGCAAAATAGTGGGGTTGTATAATAGCCTGAGCTAAAGAATGGCATAGGTAGCGGTCTGGGGCTTCAAGGGGAAAGGAGTGAGATTCATATGACCAAAAGAGCGGGACTCATGTGAAGTAGACAAGATGTTCTGTAATTAGGAGTTTGCCATGTAGATAGCTTTTTTGATAGAAAGGTTATTTCTGATAAATATTTTAATTCTGTTTAATACCCTCAATTTTCATTCTTCTAGGTAGTTAAAAGGGTGGTAAAAGTTTCTGACAAGTCTGCAGGGCCTTAAATGACCTCAGCTTGAAATAAGCCATATGCCAGAATGACATGTCTTGGAAGGAACTGTTCTGAGCATCTTGGGGAGGCCTATCCTTTATTAACTTAGTTTTATTACAGGGCAGGGAGAGTGGCAGCCCAGACCCTGCAAACCTGCCTGCTCTAAATAGGTTCTGCCATCTGCCACATTAACACAAAACATATGAGACTTTAGTGAACAAGAACTTTAATACAATTAGGAAACAATACAGGAAAGGCAAAGAATATAATTTCTAAATCAAGCACCCAAATTTACCGGTCCCCTCATGGGTAAAAGTCTGAATCCAAGGGCAAGTTAGGGAGAATTAGGTAGCCTCAAGGACAGTGCAGGTGGGGACCTCGGGAGAATTAAGGAAGGCTTCAGAGATAAGGGCAGCAAGAGGAATGTGTTAATGCTGGCCTTGGTTTCCTTCAGGTGATAAAGGATGGTGGAGTGTGGGTAATGGAGAATGGTTTAATTAGGGCAGCAGACCCATTTATGCAAGGGGGAGATGAGAAGGGGTCAGCACTGAGACCGGTGGGCACCAGCCTATTTTTCTTCAATAGCTGAAGTTTGACTTTCTCTTCCCTAAAATGCAGGTGTGCTCATTTGGGAGACTGGGCCATAAAGATAAAGCTATCGAAGAAGGGGGAAGGTGCAAAAAGTGGGGAAAGACAAACCTGTTAGATAAGGAATATGAAGATCCCCCACCCCACCCCAGCTCAGTAGCAAATTAAGTGAGACAGCCGAGAACTAACCAATCACAAAGAGACTGGTGGAGCTTTACAATAATTAGGGAAAGAAGGTCTATATTCCCTGAGACACGACTCCACTTTGGCTTCCTTGCCCCTCCCTGGCCTGGTTTCATGGCCTGGGAATCCCACTTTATTTCTGTTCTTTTTCTCAATAAACTTCTTCTTTCTCTAAACGAACCTGCCTCTTCTCGCTTGCTTGCCTGAGCGTCTGTGAAGTTCCTGCTGCGTCTTCGTGAGACACCAACCCGTGGTGGTCTAGTGGCTGGGACTCAGCGCTGCCCCTGCAGCCTGGGATCGTTCCTGGCTGGGAGACTAGGCCTGACAATTCCAGTATCAAGTCCACCCAAGCAGGATTGGCCCAGAACAAGGCCCCAAAGCCTGTCACAAGTCTAAAGCATCTTCCAGTGGGGACCCACAGAAAAGCATCAGAAACAATCAGACAAGTCTGGAGGGAAAAGAGCAAAACCAAAATCAAGACAAAAACAGCCATTGTCACCTCCCCATGGGTCACTCACCCACATCTGTGTCACCCAGTCCACAACCAAAAGGCAAGCGCAGTTTCTTCACGTGTCTCTCGGCTCCATGTGCCTCCTCCAGGTCTCCTTCTGGCTCTGCATGCTGCTTCCTTCCTTCCTCAGTCTCCTCTGCAGCCTCTTCTCTCCCTGCTCAGCTCCACCATCCCTTGGGTGGGGCAGGAAACCTGGAACCTCCCCCTTTCCTGGGGACCACCCTGTTACAACTTGGCTACTAGTTCTCACTGGGTTTCTCCATAATGAAGTAATATATTCCCCCTTGAAATTAGAGATTTTTGGCTGTGTAGATATTTTGTTTTGGTCTCCAATTTTAGCATACATTGATTTTTTATAAATCAGTCATTCTATATTTCATGGTTGTCATTTTACTTAAAGAACTTTCCTTCATTCCACGTTTATTAGTTTGTTATATCACTGTGGACTCAGGTTTCTTACCTGGTTCAGTTGGTTTGATTGGGTTATAATTGGAACAGCTCTCATTTTGATGTTTCAATCGTCCCAGACATAAGAAACATGAATTTTAATAATACTTCTGACTCTAAGAAGCTACATGACCTGGGGCAAATCACTTTGCTCTTGAGTCCCAATTTCCCATTTTGCATAACAAGGGAGCCGCAGAAGAAAAGCTTTCATTTCTTTTTCTTTGTGTCGGTCTAAAGAACCAAGA